CCTTTTTTAAAGTATAAGAATTACATAATTACAGCTGGCAGTGGCTGGTGATAGAGTTTAGAAAATAAGATGGAATTTCTGAAATCTGATATATCTGTGCTCAGTTACCAATTTTCTGCTCTGAAGCTTGGGAAATTGCTTAATTTCTTTAATTATCAGGATTTTGTTTTTAATTCTGTAAATAGACAATTGGCACAAAGTTTTTGTCAGGAGTAAACTACATAATGCATGTAAAGTATGTAGAATACTCTTATACAGTTTAGTTGCTTTTACTATTTTCTGGAACCCCATTGATTGAAATAATTATATTGTAACGAGTATGTGATGTTTGTAGATATGTGTTCCACCTTTGAATTTATGACTATTCTTTTTCTTATGTTTACAATGCCCTTTTAATACCTTCTGCTACTCTTAAGAGGCATATTATCTTCCATATTCACTGAATTAGAATTTTCAGCCAGAAAAGTAAAAAATATATTTGTTTCAAAGCATTAAAAGAATGTAACACAGGTAATTAAGCATTCACTAAACATTTAATTATATGGACCTTATAAAAATAGACTGCAAAACCAGTCACATAACTTCTGAAAAACCAGCAAGGAAACTTACATTAGAAAATTTTAGTGAAATCTCAAAAACATTTTAATGTTAATTTTGTTTGTTTGCCATCCTAAATAAATGTTTATTTATTATTTATTATTATTTCTTCCAATATTATTTTATGAAAATTAACAGACGGCTTTTGGGTAACCATGAGAATATATTCTCCTTAACCTCTTTTAATAACATATACCCATAGAAAATAAAACATGTGAGTTTAATGTTAAAAAGCACTAAGCTGTGAATAAAAAACTTTGCTTAATATATACTATATACATATATCCAAAGCAAACTGGGTTTACAAATAAAAATTATACTTGAAAAATGGCTGCTTTATATTTATAGTTGCTTTTACCTAGACATAAAATATTTAGAAAGTATTTTCTTTATTGCCACTGGTGTAGATTTTAAAATTATATGCAAATATTAAATAATCCATTATACTCAAGATAGTTATGTATTATACTTCATAACTATTGGATTAACCTAATTATATGCACTAGATGGAGAGTTTTATGAAGTTTTATGACTTTACTACCTATATTTAAATCTGACAACATTGCCAAAGTATAATTTTAAGCCACTGTGTTTTAAAGGCATGTTTTCTTTTTAGTAGAACCAAGATTATAAACAACTGTGTTATGGTAACTCTTATTAAAAATACATTTATGGCAATTGACTTGCCTGAGGAGGTTTTGGAAACACCAGTTCTACTACCCTAAGTTTTGGGGTGCAATCAGTGTGGTCTGAATAGACATTGAAATGTCAAAGAGGCACTTTGGGAACAATTCGAGAAACTCAAGTGCAGTAAATTATTACAGCCCAGATGGTATTCATCTCAGAGTTCTGAGGGGGAACAAGTTGTGAAAGAGCAGAGCAAGCAGACACGGATACGCAAAAATTGCAATGTTGGTTCCCACAGGGTACATGCCAACCTGGTACTGCCTTTATAGCCGTGATACCATCGTTTGACCGTCAGTCACTCAGATTTAATTCTTGCGTTTGTTGACCTCACAGTTTGAAAAAGTTAGAATATTTTTATTCTAAAAAAATAAAAAAGAACTATTCATTCATTTGTATTCATTTCTCTGTACATGACAATGAAAAGGGATACATGTTTTAATAACCCCAAGATCTGTTTCTCAGGATTCTCACAGGAAATTCAAAAGTAGGAACAGATGCAAGCCTCGGCTTTGGCATAACCACAAAGTCCCTGTTTTCCTATGGCCCTAAAGCCCTTTCCGGAGAGACCTTTCTGACTCACCTCTTGGAGTTCCAGCTGGTACTGCTCTGCTGACTCCTGAGTCCCAGGAACACTTGTGGGTGTTTATGGAATGGATTCCAGGAAGGAAAAGAGGCTGTAGGTAAATATGCAGAAGGAGCTAGGGGTACAAAAGCTTATAGAGAAGGAGACCGCTCTGGAGGGAGTTTCATCAATGTTCAAATCCTTCTGCAGAGAGGTCCATGGTCTGTGCCACCAGGTGATCTGCCTATCCTTTCCTACATCATTTGTGGTTTTTGTTTTGTTTTTTTTTTCCCCAGAAATCACAATGGTAAACTTGCTATCTTATCTGGGATGAGAGAGACATAAGGAAGATATTGGACATCTTCAAATTTAGTGGTTCTAGCTTGATCCCACTTAGCAGTGCTAGAATCATATTTTCCAGTTAACCATTAGGTGACTCAACATGGATTTGTCATTGGTGTTAAGAAGTCAATTGGTCTAAACTTAAAATATTTACCAGTGTCAGGGAACCAGGAAGCAGATGGCATACTCCAATTAGAATAAACTGCAAGTTACCTGAAATTGGATGACTCTTAAGAATGCTTGATTTAGGTAGTCTTTATACAGGTGTGGATAGTTGAAAAACCTCAAGGCAGAGAGTCCAGTAACTCAGGTCTGACAACAACTGAGCTGTTAACATCACTAAGCCTACAGGGAGAAGGACTGGAAAGGTTTATTGGAATCAAGGAAAGATGTGTATAGAAAAGGGCACACTGATAGAAACAATTAAAGGAAACAGCCAGCCTGCGGGGACATCTCAACAAGGATTTCTCCTCCATTTTCTACCATTTCTCACTATAGACTGAACCAAATGGAAGCCTAGGACAAAGGAGCCTATATTGCATATACGTCAGCCTCCTAGGGGTGTGTGAGAGGTGGGGGAAGATTGAAACAGACCCTGAAATAACTAGCATATTGCCCTTTCCCATTCCACGTTCCACTTGTATGAGCCAGTTTTCTAACTGGCACCATGCTTTACCTAATGGCACAAAAGTATATTCAACACTCATTCCTACCATGAACCTTACAATCTCAACTCACACAAGTATCTGACCCCAAGTCTCCACTGATTCTAAATTATGAGATTTATGCAGTGCCTTCCATTCTCTCACATCAAGGCTAAGTTTTCTCTTCACATCACTCTACTATCACTGCAGCCTGTTCACTTCTTTATAGCATCTATCACTTTCAAAAATCACCTTGTTTACTTTGTTTATCAAATTTCCCAGAAGACTGTGCTCAGGATTATGTCTCCAGTTCCTAGTACAGTGACTGATACATAGTATATGCTCAGTAAGTAAGTGTTGAAGGAATAACTTAGTGCAATAAATTAGTGTCTCCAATACGTGTTAGCTATTTTAGTACATTTTTAAGCAGTCTCTTCAACATCAGTTTTAATCCTCTCTAGTCCACCATTTCTATATCTGCTAGCATAACGTTTTTTATTCAAAAATCTTTTAAAAATTATTTTGCAGCACTTTGTAGCATTCCAACTGAAGCATCTCTGTCACTGTACACTTAGTTATTGAGCATACACTATGTGCTAAGGAATAGCAAAACAAAGATGAGCAAACAGACTCAGTCAAGGTGCTTACAATTTACTAAGCAAAAATAATAAATGAAGCCATGGCAGTGAAGTAAGTGTAGCAGTCTAAGTTGGGTGAGCACTGGGTGCTGGGAAGCATTGAACAAGGATCCTTGACCTACAGGGAAGGATAAGTTAGGAAAGGCTTCCCAGGGGACTGAAGAGTGAAAGACAATGAAGATGGGGACCGTGTCCTGAGAGGCCCACACTCTACATTTATAGTGTCACTTTAGCCTGGTATCTTAGTGTCTTAGTCCTGATGTTTACTAGCTGTATGTCCTTCTCAATTTGGACTCTGCTCTAGAGACAGGTGGCTATTCAGTGTGCCCTCAATTCTTCATGCTGATTCCCCCTTCTGAGATTCTGCCTACTTATTCTTGTTCTAAGAAACAAGATTGTGTTTCCTAGGGAAGCCATCCCTTTCACAGTCTGTTCACCCCTTCTCTGCTCAACACAAGTATGTTTCTAGAAGCAACTTGACTTCTTTTCTGAGTTTTCCATAGAACAGTGTGTGTATTCCCAGACATTACCACACCTAAATTAAATGGCAGTGACTGGGAGATGGAAATCCCTGCATTCTCTTTCCTTTAATGCTCTGCATAGCCACTAGAATGTACAGAACTTCTTGAGAGCCATCTGTGACTCATCAAATCATTCTTTCCTGTTTTAAAAGATAAACGATGCCTTCTCAATTACTTTGAGTAAACATAGCCAAATGTTAACTTCAAATTTAATTCAATGTAGACTGTTTAATCTGAAGTGTAGTGAATAGCATAGAAATGAGACCAAATGAGCAGAAACCATTTAAATTTTAATTGTAAATATGCCACAGTTATAATATCTTCTGGTTATTGGATATTTGTGCTTCTGTGCCACTATAGATAATGCAACCTCATGGTTATTCTGAGTAACATGCACCAGTATAATTGCAGATGATTGAAAACAAGTATTAAAATTCTAACTAATAAACATATTTTCTAGTAATTTTCTAATCACAGTTATACTCTGATGTCAAACCAGGCTAAAAGTCACAGTATAGGAATATTATAGAAAGTAGCAATGATGGTGTTACTTTATTATTGCAGAAGTTAGCCTAGAAAGATTTAATTCACTATTTAAATTTAATTATCTATCATAATTGAAGTACACATTGACTTTCTTTAAGCCAGTGTCGTTGTTTTACATTTTATAAGAGTAAAATGTAGATATCAAGCTCAAGAAGTAAAAGTCAACAGTATTCAAATTACAAAATTCAAACATGTCACTTCCAATTTTTTAACATTTTTATTTAATCAGATATATGTAGGAAGTCAAAGTCAATGCTAATACGCTAGCGAAGGATTTCAAAATTGTTCAAAATATACAAATAACACAGAAACTGGATATATGTATTAACATTTTCTTTTTGGCAAGTTAATGGGAACTTATGTAATTGATCAAAAAATCTGCTAACAATATCATATTAGTATGTGACTAATTAATATGAGTTTATATTAATCATAAAGCAAATTATGCAAAATGTGACTTGGGATAACATTTTTTGCCTTCAAGGGTAACTTTATTTCTATTCCAGTGTTGTAAAAGATACCTCTGTATATTTTTTCTTGAGTATTAAGAAAAAAGTAACATCACCATACCATATTATACTTAATAAACCAATATTAAAAATTAAAACCAATATTTTCATTTTAAGAAACCAATGATCTCAATAAACCAAAATATTTTAAACTAATGTTTTATCATTTGCCTTCTCGATGATAGATGGAATAGTGTGTTGCTCAGCTGCTGGACTTGCTTTAAAGAAACTGATTGTTGGCTGGGCTCAGTTGCTCATGCCTGTAATCCCAGCACTTCGGGAGGCTGAGATGGGCAGATTACCGGATGTCAGGAGTTCAAGGCCAGCCTGGCCAATATAGCAAAATGCCATTTTTACTAAATATACAAAAAAATTAGCTGGGCATAGTGGCTGGCACTTGTAATCTTAGCTACTCCGGAAGCTGAGGCAGGAGAATTTCTTGAACCAGGGAGGCAGAGGTTGCAGTGAGCCGAGATCACACCACTGCACTCCAGCCTGGGCAACAAGGGTGAAACTCCCCACAACCAAAAACATAAAAGAAAAAGAAAATGATTGTTATGGGTCCATGACTCCTAATGAATTAGAGTTCTCCAGGTATTTGGATCGGTGAAGGATCTCTTGTTTTATTTGATATCTTGGAAGTTCTGTATAAAAGTAAAAGTAAAAGTTAACAACATGCCATGTTAAGGATTTCACAAATGTGCTTGTGTGTGTGTGTTTGCTGGAGTCTGCACCTGGAGGAAAAAATTAATTAAGTTCCAGAATGTAAAGTCCTGATAGTAAAATATTATATGATCTTTCTAAGGAGCATCACATTTCTAACTATGATGTCCAAGTTATCATTTTTTTAAAAGTCTTTTTTTCACAAATATTTAAAATTTTAGTTGTTTCTCTGCAAACTTCTTTGAAGGCTTATTGCTGTTTTAATATAGCATGAGATGAAACAAATGCAAGTATCTTATTCTTTACAGAAAATAGGTATTCACACAGATTAGGCCTGACTGTCAGGTGAGCGTACAATGTCTGAAATAGCAACCATCTTTCTTTCATTAGGGGGCATTATTGTCCAGGTGTGGGCAACACAGGTTTTGTTGCCAATAATGCTTGTGTTTCAGTTTGTACCTTTTATAATGACTTTAACTTTGGTCTCTTTTACCTTAGGTCTGGAGTTTTCAGATTACACAGTATGGTAAATTTTAAATTATAAGGAAATAAATTGTAACTAAATACAAATATATTTAATTGTACAAATAATTTGCTTTAAAATACACATTAGAATAAATTCAAAATATTTATCCATAATAATGCCCCCAATGCCATCTAAAAAAGGAATATGTCTCCTAAGCAGGTGAGAAAGGAGATGAAGCTACAATGAATACATAGGGAATTATGAGTAGTCAGTCTATACCTTGTTTATTTGTAGCATAACTGTAATATGTAAAAACCAATGGGATATGGAACAGGTGTAAACTTTACACATTCTGTATGTAGTTAAGAAGTAAAGATTGAGAAGCATTAAATGAAGATTTTTTGCTAGGCCAGAAAACTTTCCATATTTCTTTGAAACAATGTTTGCCCTGGAATATCTAGGCAGGCATACTAACTAAACAGTGTTCTCAAGGACTTGAATTCCAAATGCTATTTTTCTCTCTTAGCAATTGTCTCCAATTATTTGGCTTTCAAACCATAACTTAGAACCCATGAAATATCTTCTCATACAAATATGCCTCTTAAGGCCTTGGAAAAAAGGTGTGTTTTGGTACTGGTTTCAATTAACATGAAATTAAATGCTTAGAGAGGTTGGATCCAAACAGTGGATACATTTTGTTTAGCTGGCACTGCATTTAAAAATAGATAAATTAGGATTTTTGTATGTACCTGACCTCTTAGTATCACCATACAACTTCTCATGTCAGTCTTTTATTTGCCTGATTGTCAAGGACTTTTTAAGTCTGAGATCTCTGGAGGAGCGAGATATGTTTACATGTATTGTATAGTTGACTGAATTAATCTTTCTGGGTGTCAAATGTCATGAGGTAAATCTCCAATGAATACTTCTGTTCCTCTGAAGACCCAGTCTTACTGATAGAATATAGTTTGTGTATGTACTTTCATGTATATATGGCCTGATACACACTTATGTATATTTCTTCATTAATATGTATGCTACTCAAATTTTATAGACATGTTCCCATATGTATAAAGAATAAGCAAATGGACATGATTGATCTTTAAATATGAGGTTTTTGTTTTTTTAATTAAAGACATGTCCACACTCCTTTGTGTATAGTTGTAAATGCCAAATAAGTGGAAAAATTTTAAACCCTAGACATTTAGAAATCTAGAGGTTGATGTATATCTCATCTCAATGTCTCACATGCCTGCTGGAGCATTACAACATTCCAGCAATAAAAGCAGCCAAGATTTGGAGAATAAATTAACGTCAGGCAACAGTAATATCTTTCTAATGCACTCTGTGCAGCCTTATTAAATCTCTTTCAATAATTGCCTATTAAAAACAAATAAAATGTATTAACATATAAGAAATTCGAGTAAAGAATACATCTTTGGGTAAATATAAACTCTATACAGTAAACAACAGGTCAGTTATGTGAGCCTATCAATCATGCAAATAATTTGGATAATGAATGCAGCAAAGTCCAATTTGAATTTGGTAGGGAAGCCAAGGGGAAAGACTGATAAGAGATTAATTGGAGGGAACATACAATGCATATGTGCTTATTAAATGCAACATAAAAAAATCTCCTATGATCACATTTCCCTTATGTATGAAGACTGAAAGTAACGTTTCCATGGACCTATGCCACATAAAACTTGATTTAGTATGTCTTAACAGAGAAGATTTCATTCTCAGGCTTTTTGTAAGCTCAGTCATTGTGCAACATACTTTAACACAGCTAAGTGACTCCCTTTCAGCCCTTTCCTCCTGATTTATATTGTTACCTAAGCTTGACCATAACCAAGAGAAGGACTCCACAGGTGACTGTCATGCACATGGCAGCATAGATTACTTCTCCTAATAAAACAAACAAACAAACAAACAAAAAAGATTAAGAAAAAAATAAGCACTGGATTTTTACTGTAAATAAATAATATAAATATGATAAAGGACCAATTTTTAACTGACCATTGAAGGGGGAATGAAATCCAGTTAAAGTGATTTTCTTTGCATGTTTTCTTGTATACAGTGCCATGCCTTTGACATTAGACAGGGTTGGATAATCTGAAATAAAATCATTAAAATGAGATGAAAGCATTTACATATCATACATTATTTTCATTGTATGGGTTACAATTTGCTTCATCTTATAAGGCAGCAATTTATTTCTATTACATTATTTTAATTTGTTAGATTTGAATAAAACTAGAAACAATGTTCTTAAATTTTAATAGCTTGTTTTTCCCTTTTAATCAGATAATTTTCCTTTTGACTTTTTTTTAAAAAACGAAGATTAGTACAATGCCTATATTTTATAATGTAACTCATTGTATCTTATATACAGATGAAAAATAAAAGATAGTAAGTTTAGACCATCCTTTGGGAAATTGAAAAATATCCTTTCGTTATGAGAGTGATTGTTTTAATGTGTTTTTAAGAATATTTCATTTTCCTCAGACTTACTATGTATATAAATTCCCATAAAAGATAGTCCCTAAACCAGTCTCTCCATGTAGCTCTACACTCAGATACTGGAATACCTAGTTTGCTTCTTTCCCCTGTTCTGTCTCCTTTTCTTTTTCTCTCCATTAGCTAAACTGTCAGTTTCTCCTGTTACCTATTTCTGCCTCCCTTCAGAGCATTCCTGCCCATTCTGAGGCGCTAGTCTTCTTGGCCATGTTTCTGAGAAATACAGTCCAACCAGTTTTCAATAGCCTCACAACTCTAGAAATCATACTTGAGTAGCTAGGTCATAAAAAGAAATCCTTCCCCTACGGGCAGTCTTTTCTCTGGCTTTTCTACTTTAAAGACAGAAAGATGCAATTGTTAAAATTAACTGACAGATCTCTTTTAGGTGATTTTTTATTGATAACTTCAAAGTGAAATCACTGCTAGTTTTGACTTAATTGGACTCAAATATGAATTCAAACATACCAACAGTTTAGTAACCAATTTATGTAATGAACATTAAAGTTGGTGTTGAGCCAGTAAGAAAAATGAGATAAAGCTTCCACTTTAGAGAGATTTTGCTGTCTTCTGTTACAGATGTTTGATGCAGTTTTGAGACCTGACTCTGAGTAGACAGTTGTTTTATAAAAGTGAATGTATCAAACAGTAGGGTTTTACATCAAGTGAAAACTGGTGACAACAGTTTCTGAGCAGGAAGGGAGATAAGAAAATCAACAGTCATGCATTGCTTAATGTGGGGATACGTGCTGAGGAATGCATGCTTAGGCAATTTTGTCCTTGTGTGAACATCACAGAGTATACTTACACAAACCTGGATGATATAGGCTACCACAGGCCTCAGCTATATAATATGGTCTTTGCTCTTAGACTGCAAACATGTACAGTGTGTGTTATTGGACTAAATACTGTAGGCAACTTTAATGCAATGGTAAATATTTGTATATTTAAACATCTAAACATAGAAGAGATACTATAAAAATACGGTATTATAATCTTGTGGGACCAGTGATGTATAGTCTGTCATTGAACAAAATGTCCTTACGAGGTACATGATTGTATTACCAAATGTTCCATTCAGTTATCTCTCCACCCAGGGCTGCTGGTGTTCAGAAGACAGCTTACAAGGAGCCAAGATTTGAGCACTATGTTAACAATAATCAGTAGACAGATGGGTTGGAGATTCAGAACAGTAATAAACCTCCCACAGTGGGTCAGAGAGAAGCAGCCCAATATAAGACCAAAAATGTAACCAAGGATTTTGTCATTAGAAAACTCATTCTCAAGCAGTCTGAACTCAAATACAGTTAAGCCATTTTTTTAGTCAAATAGTTTTGGTCTCCAACTTGCATATTGGATTATCATCTATTTAAGAAGCCTCTACCATGGATGATCCCTACAATACCAGCACTTTGGAAGGCTAAGGTAGGAAGATCACTTGAGCCCAGGAGTTTGAGGCCAGACTGGCCAACATAGCAAGATCCCATCTCTAAAACATTTTAAGATTAGCTGGGCATAGTGGTGCACACCTGTAGTCCTAACTTCTCTGGAGGCTGAGGTGTGAGGATCACTTGAACCCAGGAGTGGGCAAGCTACTATACAGTCCAGCCTGGGTGAAAAAGCAAGACCCTGACTCTAGAAAAAAAAAAGGCATTTCTTCTTAGAATGAAAAATAAACCACCGCATATTCTCACTCATAGGCGGGTGATGAAAAATGAGAACACATGGACACAGAAAGGGGAGTACTAAACACTGGGGTCTATTGGGGGGAAAAGGGGAGGGCCAGTGGGAGGGGGCGGTGGGGAGGGATAGCCTGGGGAGAAATACCAAATGTGGGTGAAAGGGAGAAGGAAAGCAAAGCACATTGCCATGTGTGTACCTATGCAACTGTCTTGCATGCTCTGCTCATGTACCCCAAAACCTAAAATCCAATAAAAAATTTAAAAAAAAATTTTAAGTGCCATATTCATATAATAAAATATGTTAAACAAAAATCAAGAAATAGGAAAAAAAAAAAAAAGAATGTAAACGTCACTTTGGGAAGCTGAGGCAGATGAATCATGAGGTCAAGAGATTGAGACCATCCTGAGCAACATGGTGAAAGCCCGTCTCTACTGCAAATACAAAAATTAGCCAGGCATTGTGGTGCATGCCTGTAATCCCAGCTACTCTGGAGGCTGAGGCAGGACAACTGTCTTGAACCCGGGAGGCGGAGGTTGCAGTGAGCCCAGATCGCACCAGTGCACTCCAGCCTGGCAGCACAGTGAGACTCCATCTCTAAAGGTAGAGCTTGTGAATTATTTTTACTTTTGTGACTGTAAAATAATTTTTTATTCACCATAAAGTTGAAATTAAAAAATTGAGAAATTTTAAATAATACTTTTTAAATAAGAGGTCCTTTAAAAATTAATTTTATCACATTGATTATATGGACTTTTAGCAAAACAAATAATCACAATAAAATTATATATTTAAATCAATTCAGAATATGAAGAATCAACAGTTTTACTTTTTTTAAGTCCTATGGCCTTTAAAAAAAAAAAGTTGTGGCTAGATTTATAGCCTAAATATATATTAGATGATTATTTAAATGATACTACAGCTTTTCATTATGAAATTCTATCCCTAAGTACATTTAGTCTGGTTGGGTGTCACAGTTCATCTTTGCAAAATAAAAAAATTATTATTTGAAAAAAAAATAGTTCTTTTTAAAAGATATATAACTGCCTTAAGTGATTGTTAAACATTCACCTAGCACAGTTTAGAAAGAATCATCTCATTTACTAAATTCCTCTCACATGGAACTCATTAACAATGTTATAGTAGATCAGTGACAGAAATGTTAGCTAATGATCCCAGTGAAAATTTAAATGTGTCTAGCAATCACTCCACAATCTTAAATATTGCACCCTAGGAGGATACCGAATATCAGTGAGAGAGATTAATGTTACTGAGGGTTTCTTGGCTACTGAGGCCCACTGGGGTTCCTTTCCTGCCTTTTATAAATAGTGAGGTTTACAGCATTTTATAACCATGAAATTAAAGTCGGCAAAGTTGATAACTAACCTCAGTCCTACACCATCTGCTATATTTATAGATAAACACTGTCAGTGACTTGTTTATCTTAACTTGTACCCTGGAGAAATTAAACACGATTATGAACTATATTGTAAAATCCCTGCACATTTCATGGGAAATCAAGATTAAATTAAATCTTGCATTAGGAACAAATTTAGATAGTATTCTCCTCAAATGAGCTATGGAGAGGTGAGCATTCGTATTTTTTTTTTTTTTTTCAAAATCCTGTGCAATAGTAGTTGAGAGTTCATGGAGACTGAAACGCTGCTTGTATAATTGATATGAAAAGGTAAAAGCATTGTAAAAGTTATGGTAGATCAGAGACAAAGCAGTGATTTAGAAATAAATGTCAGAATACTTGAGATAAAATTTGAAATAGAGATTAAACATATCACCAACTGCAAATTTACAGACCTTCATTTCATTTTAATTAAAACATAATTTAGAAGAGTCAGCCTAGGGGGAAAATGCCTGTATCTAGAATGAGTTAAATGGGAAAAAAACTAAGTTCACAAAATTGATCAGTAATTTTTACTTAGAATTATAAAATACACAAGCACTAGGCGAGCTTCTAATAAATAAGATGAATGAAAATAGTTTGTACTGTAATTTATAAATTTCAAAATTTTATATTTCACATGTGGAGATTTTCAATGTATGGAATATTTTTACCGAAAAAATATATGTAAGTGACAGTACCATTGTAGATAGGTTTTGATGCCTTCATTTGACATTGAGTAACTCACTAACGACTACCCTTTGGAAAATGTTACCGGGCTGGCTTACATATATACATTTTTTTCATAGGCTGATTGAAAACAATGAAGGCAAGAGAGTTAGGAAAAATAAAAGAGATACCTTTTGGAGAGTCTTCATAGTCATTTGGAACAATGAGATAATCCAGAAAGTTTTATAAATTACTGAATTTTGAAATGGAAAAGAAATGTATAATTGCATTGTCTCTTCCCTGCACACATATTTGCAAATCTACATGAGAAAGCTCAATATAATGTATGAAATGTGTTGTTAATTATCCTTACAAAGTAAGCTTTTTGTGAATTGATACTATGTCTGTCTAATGTACAATATAATAAGGCTATCACAATACTGTGCTCATGCAATTATCTAGGAGGCCAAAAAGTGTATATTTGCAACATTCACATTTGAAATAGCACATCTGTCACCGTGTAGTGTATGATTGTTTATGTTTAGTTTTTTCTTATCTTTAACTGGCATTAGTCAAGTGTCTTCACATAACTTGGATATTTTTCACCATTTCTTAAAATGTAAATTTAGTCTCCCAGCTGCAGTCCACATGGTCACCCAATTAGCAAAAATTTGTTAAGCAATTATTTTGCCTAAGGTTAATTCTTACGATCAAGTTTGTTTACTGATGTGCAAAGAATTAATCATCTTGGCCACTGGGCTAGAGATATCTAAAATAATTAAAAACTTTTGTGAATTCTCCTGAGCCTTGGTTTTCATATATATAAAATAGTATTACCTATGTTTGCAAGATT